CAGCACCAGGTCTGTCCCCAAAAGGCGTGAACCCACTTCGATGTGCATCGCCACCACGGGGAGATGTGAACACCGCTCAGCAGCAGCAGCAGCAGCAGCAGCAGGAGGAGGAGGAGTAGTAGTAGTCGTAGTCGTAGTCGCAGTCGTAGTCGTAGGAGGTGTTGTTGTTGTTGATGATGTTGTTGTTGTTGTTGTTGTTGGTTGTGGCGTTGTTGTCGCCGTTGCTGGTGGTGGTGGTGGTGGTGCTGCTGCTGCTGCTGTCATAACCGCTGCTCGTGTAGCTGCATCCAAGAAGCCGGATGCAGCCAGAAAATATTCCTCTGCCACAGTCTCCCAAGACCCGCATCTGCATGAAGAGTTCAATGAGCATTTTTGCTAGGACAGTGACCTTGAACTCATGGTTTGTGCTGTCCACTCAGGAGAGATGTGCATGACTCTGGTGCTCTCTTGCTCTCTCTCTCTCTCTCGCGCGCGCTCTTTCTCGGACTGTCGACGACGACAGTCCGATAGTGTCCTTAGCATGGATGTTCTGCAGATCCTGGGCAGATCCGCCTTTAGTTTGGACTTCTGATCCCAAGAACCGTTTGAGACACCAGGAGGCGCCTCCTCCCCGCCTTTGGCAGATGAAGTTGCCAGAAGCCGGTTACCCAACACATCATGCATTCACACTCCGAAGCCCTGTCAAGGTATTCGGAAGTATGATGTACCAAGAGTGAGTCTGCAGGACAGTTGCTGTCAGTTGAGACCTTTGTGGACGCACTCTGCTCAGGGCTGGCAAGTGTTCCAAAAGTTCTCGGTACCGCCAGTCACAGAGACGAGGACTAAGGACCCGGAGTGCTGCGTCGGGTTGACAGGCTTTGGACCCCTCAACTTTCAGATTTTGGCTCCGGCCGAAATTTGGACTTTGGACTTCGGACTTGGGGTTCCATTGAAGTTTCTCGGCAAGAGATTGTCGGGCTTGCAGAACTTGGTATCGATGCCGTCATCATCATCGCCAGCCGTCATCATCGCGAGCTATGGGGAAAGGGAGACCTTGCACCTACTATACTACTATACTACTATACTACTATACTGCTGTACTACTATACTACTATACTACTATACTATACTACTACTATACTACTACCATACTACTACTATACTACTACTGTACTACTACTATACTACTACTATACTACTAAGCTGCAGATTCCGCGAGGAGCTCTTGCTGGCGGGAGACCCGTCCGCGGCAGCTGGGACCGCGCATTGAGAGAATCTAACAGCAGCTTGGGTTTGCCTCTTTAGGGGTTTAGGGTTTAGGGGTTTAGGGGCTTGGGTTTGCCTCTTTATTCTGGCCAGGCTGAGACTTTAGACAATTTGGGCACAGACTCGCCGTAGGGTGTAGCCCCAGAGAGCGAGGTTGAAACCCGGGTTAAATGCCTGGAACCACGAAGAGTGCAGTGCCGAAGATGGCTGTGGTCTTTCTGACTGTTGCGAAGCTTATGATGTTGACCGTTTTCTGTGTTCGTAGCACTTGCGTGGCTTCGGGCTCAGAAGCGACGACGGCCTTAGGAGAGGCTACCGTGATCTATTGCATTACGACCAGTGGAACAAGTAATTACAATCATCAACCCAGAACCGGACGGGGCGATGTTCAGAGAGAGTGATCCAGATCCAGATGCATTCTGACAGGGAGCGGAAGTGAAGGTCCTGCACATCCCGCTGATGACCACCCCGCCGCTGGTGTTGATTCATTGTAAGCCTCTTGCAAGCTGAGAGTTTTCACTGCACTTGTGGGGAGAGGCAAGCCAGTCTGGAAGTCCGTGCAATGCAACGTGTGAAGACGGCGTGTGAAATCCTGGCATTACTCGAATACTCTTGAAGGGGATCGGGGGTTTCTGTCCAGCTTTGAGAGCTGGGACGAAGTGACATCAGGACATCCCAGCATAGGCATCATGCCAGAGGTGGTGTTCGGGGTTCACCCAAGCTAACGGCCTTCGTTGTTGAATGTACTGCCGTCGTCAAAGTCGAACTTCTAGTACACTTGCAGAAGCATTTGTCGCAGAGAACCGCGGCATATCCTCGTGCATGCCTATTTAGAGTGAAAAGATCCAAGCTCCGATAAGACATCCTACACTTGGCTTGAGGCAAGATCCACAGGGCACCGGGGCCCTGACCCTTATCGAGTATTTCCAGATCCCTTTTCCCAGGCCGTGCTGGGAAGGATATCATGCCCTGCAAGCCTTGAAACCACGTTCTGTTGGTGAGTGCAATGGGCTGTTGCAAATCTTGCCGTGCAAGCAGGGAATGATTCAGCAGGTTTTATCATGTTGTGCCGGGGGAGTTTCGCAGCTGTAGAAGCACACCCTAAGTCGGCTGGCGTGATGGAGACCACTTCCCCTAGACTTATCTTGGATCGCGGTAGTGGCATCCTCGGCCCTGCACCCTATAATGCTATAAACCCTACGAAATCTCGAGCCTCGGTTTCTGCGGAGCTCTTCTGCAAGGCTTCCGCCCGACTGGACCCCTGAACCCAAAGAGTGTAAGCCGAAGCCGCCCAAACTCTGCAGACGATTCTAACTAGTAGTATAGAATTATTATAATATGATATTGTACCTATAATTCTATAATCAACAATAGTAATAATATGTTTTCGTAATTATAGATACCATCTTGTTCCCTGCCACTCCCGCCCAGCTCCTGACCTGTAGGGTGGGCCGGAAATCCGTGATAAACGCCCCTGCCTGAGCTTGGGGGGTCTCGAAGGATTCAGTGGGGCAGGGCTTGAGGTTGTGAAAGCCTCGCATGAAAGGCATTGCTCTTACGAGTATATGATCTTCAATATCTTAGATATTCTTGGGGCCACGTGCGGAACATACCAGCAAGAGCATAGCCGAGGGCGTTTCGCGACACAGGTACTGCTTCCCTTCAGCTCGGCCCTAAAAGCCCTAAAAAAAAGGCCGGAGGCTGGAAGAACCCGCTTCTGGCTGACTTCACCAGAGCTTCTTTCTAAGTTGCCTCATGGTCTTAGATGTGCTGCAGCAGGCCGCAGCTCATGATAGCCCCACCTGCCCCACCCCCATCACAAGAACAACAAAACAACAGAAGCCAGTGACAGTTTTCGCGACCACTTGTATCATACTGACAATCTGGCAGACGTAGCGAAGCTTTCAAGGAACATTAGTCGTCGGATTTCCGTAAGCATCTGTAAGCTTGAGGTTCAGCAGGTTGTTTCCAGACCGAGTGGATCTGTTTCGAACGGCCGTTTTCTATCTCTTTTGCAGCGGAGCTGGTTGTCCATGGCGGCATTCAACAGCGGCAGTAGTGATCCCTCAAAGCCGCAGCATAGTTGCGGCGACCTGGCCACTGCAAAAGGGCTGTTGCAACTTGATTGAATCGCTGAGCGCCACCCAGTTTTGCCGCTGAGTCCTTGAGCAAGTCCTTCGCGAAACAGCCGGCATCCTTCTCCTTGAATCTGATAGGCTGGGAGGGCTGGTGAAATGCAGCAATCCGAAACTCCGTCCTCTTGACAGCATCCAGATTCTACTCAGCAAGCGGAACCCCAGCCCCTGCCACTGGAGGCGAGGGCGAAGACAAGGTCGGATGCTTGGCGGGGCGGGGGAGACAACTGGAGCTGGTGAAGAGTTTTGACTCACCCGGAGCTTCTTCGCGTGTTGCATCACGGGATCGCCATGAAGGGCAGTGCCCTCCAGGTGAAACTGCAGCAGAAGTACATGAGCTATGAGTTCGAGCTGCGGCGATGCGAAGGGAAGCAGGCGTCTTGCCTTCCGTGTCATCAGGTCTCACTTGGGTCTATTAGCTTTGGTTGTGCATGACTGCTGGCTTCTGTATGGCACTAGCAAGCATGTCTTCCATCTGGTGTCAATACAAGCTTGCGTCTTATCGCTGTAGCAGACGTTTCGGTAGATGTTATGGCAGACCCTGTTCGGCGGAGGCAAACATGCACGGAGTTTGAAGTTGCTGTAAACCGGCACGAAGACTCTGTTGTCACAAGCTGTTCAATTTGCCCAGCTCGTGTTGTAACTATCATGCCACATGTAACCGAGAAGCTGCAGCTCGTGAATGAAGATGCTGCAGCTGATGCTGCTGCTCCTGCTGTTGCTGTTGCTGTTGTTGTTGTTGGTCTTGGTCTCGGTCTTGGTCTTGTTGTCGTCGTGGTGGTCGTGATCTTCGGTGGCGGTGGTGATCGTCGTGCTGGTTGTGGTGGTGGTGGTGGTGGTGGTGGTTCGTCGTCGTATTTGTCTTCCTTACACTCTCGTTCTGAAGCAGAATTTCTGCTCATGCAGTGTTCGCAGAATAGCACCAGGCATGGAGTTTAGCTTCCCCTCCCTGATTTCGCTGTTCTTCATTTCGCTGTGCTTGGTGTCGAAGCTGGTGGTATGCTTACAATGCTACTTGAGCCGATTGCAAGAACGAGATGTGACATCATTGACAACGGCACCGCCAGCGGATCCGTTGGATCTGGAGCAGGAGAAGTGCGGCACATCCGAGGCATGCAGAGTTTGGGCTTCCAGCAAAATCACTTCAACCGAGCCACGAATTCTTGAGGTCCACCGCATTCTTGTGACCGGGACCGAGGTGAAGTGGTGCAAGGTGGGTCAGCCAGAGCAGAAGCAGACTGCGCCTCGTGTCCAGGCGGACACCCAGCCCTGTGCGTGCTGCTTGGACGACTTTCATGCCGACAGTCAGGTCGCCTTTCTTCCCTGCGGTCACATGTTCCATGAACCATGTATTGCACGGTGGTCTGTCTCTGGGTCAGTGGGTTCTGGCAACACAACCTGCCCAGTGTGCCGAACTTCGTTCCATGCCGACGTTTGACAACTCCATACAGATCAAGCTGAAGACTCGATACATGTTTGGGCACTTGATGCCCAAGCTTATTTATGTATAATGCTTGTTATGCCGTCGTAGAGTTAGGGTCTGCATCCTAGGGTTACATGCGGAGCATGCTTCCCGACTGGAATGAGACATTTGAAGACGGTGCGGCAGTGTTTTATGATGAGCCTCTTTTCCCTGTCAGCTTGGACAGTACAGGCTGTGTGAAGAACGCACCCTTTGCGGCCGGCTGCAAGCACAGCGGTGATGATGACTGATGATGCTAGGATGTAATAGCGTGCTGCTATGTGGCACCTTAGATTATTACCCTCATGTTACGTAATGTTTAGTTGCATCAAACACTTGATGCTTGCAATTTTCGCGTATGTCAGGTTTGTTTCGTGCAGTTCGTGTTCAGCTGTACTTCGTCATGCCTTCACTGTCTGGTAAGTTACCATAACTACGTCACGAAATATATCATACATATGCATGTATAGATGTATACATATATATATATATATGTATATAGAGATTCTTAGGTAAACGTATACATATATATATATATGTACAATATCTACATCATATCTGCACAGGCATATATACATATGTGCACATATCTACATATACACACCCACATCTACATCTATCTGTGTATATATATACATACGTATATGCATGGCTATGAGCGAACAGGCAAGCCTAAGGCTGCCTGCAGCCTCTGCAGAAGACGCCCGGGGGGTGGCTTTGTGGCTACCCGGAGCCAGTTTGTGAAGACCGCTGGGAGAAAAGGAGACGATTGGAGCCTCGAGAAGTAGCGGCTTTGTGTCTGGTATATGTAGCCACAAATACGTAGGTGCTCATGTTTGGATATGTTTGTACAGACATCACATCCTCCTATGCATGTACCCTAAAAGCCCCAAGACCTGAGCCTTAAAGCCTGAAGTTCAGAGCCTGACCCAGACCTGACATGCTGAACACGGATTTCGGAAGCCGGAAACCCAAAGGCTTGCGGCCCTACGCTTCAATCCAATGCTAAGCCATTCATCCAGAACCCCAATCCGGAACGAGTCAACCCGAATCTTGAGTCGTATGCCGTCGTATTGCCCTACCTACAGTCTTCATCGTAGTTCCCTCTTTGGTTTAACCAATTCTATAGTTAGGATCCTACCCCAAAAAGGGACTTTCGGTAGTTAAGAGACCCGACTGCTTGCACTTCGCCCTGGCATCCAGACCTACGGCACCAACGGCAAGATTTGCACAAGGCCAAAGACCTCGCTGGCGTAGTGCAGTAGAAGCTGAAGTGGCGGTTGGTCTTGCACACGCTTTCCCAAATTTGAATAAACCAATTGCACAATTCGGTAGACAAGCAAGTGCATATGGAAGCAAGTTGAGACCCAGTGTCCCCCCGCTTTGCAAGGTCAGACACCGGGGACATCCTGCCGACGCAGATGCTCGGACGTTTGCAATTCAGGGTTCTGAGCCTTCGGTTTTTGCAACTTTCTTGGGTGTGACTGTGCTGATTTTGGGGCGATAGGTTTTGTCAATTTTTCTGCTTCAAGTTCTCGGCATCCTAAACCCTACAGCCCAAAAGAACATAGACGACTACCAGACTCCGAGAACGAAGGAAGTTCCACCACCTGACGATCCAGACCGTGACACCGGAGCCAGTCGCCCAGTGGCTCTGTGTCTTTCAGGAGTGCAGCCAGCGTTTTTACGCTAAAGGTACTACAAGGGTTCTAGCTTTCGAGGGTTTATTCTGGTGTTTGAAACTCTCGTCTACTTCTTCAGCCAGTCTGACGCCCGTTAGGCCCTTTGAGGCTTTCAGCAGGAAGTTCTCCCTCGTGTGTGTGTGTGTGTGTGTCTGTCTCTCTCTGCGCTAGGGTCCCGTCTGCACCCTTCAGGCTGTGTTTTAAGATGGGAAGAACAACGGGTACGGGTTGAGGGTTTGTGGTTGTCAGGGTGTATGGTTGGGGTTTGAATTTCACTATTGCGGGTTAGTTACTCTCGCAAACTCGTTAAGTTTGCAGCGCGCTGGGTTTGGTTTCCCGGTGTGTTGCACTTCAGTTTGCATTTACATTCGACATGCACATGACGTTTGCGAGACATTACGTTCCCGTGTGTTGCATGTGCCTCCCTGGCTGGTGCATGCTTTTGCACTACAGTCACTACAGTTTCATTGCATTCACAGTGCCTTTCCGCTACGTGCACCGTGCCTGCACATGTCGTTCGTGGCACATGATCATGTAGTTGGAACATTCAGGTTCCATACAAATTGTACTTATGCAGCAGCTACTGTACAAATACAGTACAAGCGCATTCTATCTACAATCTGCTTGCCACGTGGCGGCTACACGTACAGCAGATGCGTACCACAAGTTTCGCAACATAGCACATCTTGACGGCACAGGCAAATCGCGAGCCGAGCTAGCGGACTGCGTCTATTTTGTTCATCGCACTATCGTTGCAAGAGCGCAGGGGTAGCGCTGATCTTAGCACTAGCGCAGGATGGCGCACGACATGCCATGTCAAGGTGAAAAGCATGCTCGCGCAGAACCTGGGCCTACAAACGAAGGGACATGCAGCTTCCAATGCCTGTGATGCCTAAGGCCCGGCATGACAGACAAAGCTTCATTCGCAGAGGCCCTCGGCTTGTCAGGGTCCGAAGGTCTGAAGGTTCTGTTGATGAGGCCTTAAGTCTTTAGTAGCAAGATGCGATCTGTCAACGGACTTTGGTAATTGGCATGGTTTTGTGGACGAGGGGATCTGTGAAAACATGAAGAGGATGATGATGATGATGATGGTTCTGGGCGATAATGATGATGGTTTTTAAGTTAAAGATGCAATGTAATTAGGTGTCCGCTAGACGAGACACCTTTCTCGCAGCGTGTGAAGAAGTGAAGAAGATGATGATGATGATGGCGGTGATGAAGACCATGATGATGCTCGTTCTCAAAACCAGCACCATCGCCGTCACCATTGATGCTATCAGTGGTGGCCTATCGGCGTTGTTGCGGAGGTTCATGGTTTAGCTTTCGAAGGGTCGTCGTCGTGATCAGCCCTTTTGCTTCGGTTCCGCATGGTTTTCACCTTTCAGCCGCTTTGATCTTCTCTCCTCGCGACCAGATACTTTGGATCGTGGACATCTCGGCTCCCGCGAAAAGCTGGGAAAACCTCACAGAGCTGCTTAGCTTTCTCTGCTTTGGGTCCTTAGGTTCTGGTTTGTTTGCTTGGGAAAACGCTGGGCTCTGAGGGCCGTGAAGATCATGACCGATTCGTTTGCGGTGGGCACGGCAGCAGGGCAGCAATCAATGCGGCAGATATTCAAGATAGGGTCTAGGGTTTAGGGTTTAGGGGCTTGGGGTTTCATCTCGAGAGCTCTTTCAGCTTCATTTCACTGTCAGAACTCGGTGCGGCATCTGTTTTGGGGCTCTCTTGCTGCTTCTCCTTTGGATTGTCGTCTTTGCAGCATCAAGACCAAGCGAAGTGCAGAGCTTCGTCTCAGCTTCCGGGACTTGCTAGAATTGGCCGGCCGCTGGCAGGAGCATGTAGGACTGGCTGGGCCTGTGCCTTGCACTCCCCAGACTTCCAGAGGATTGCATATTGAATAGGAGTTGTGCTGTTAATGCTTGCTGGTAACTTGGTCTCGGGACATGTTTGGCACAAGTCAGCTCCGCGGCAAGTGCGAGGTAGGCATCCCTCTAAACGGTCGTGAGGCTTTTGCGAACCAGGGAGGGAGGCCCAAAAGTATGCAGACTTTCAGGTGGACGAGCTGGCAAAGATCCGGAACGGCACGGCCACCTGAGACATCGGTTCATACAGACAATTATAGACCTATATCGCGACTGCAGGACTCGCGAGGTTCTTTTAACTTTTGAGTTCGAAACTTCCTGCCAGACAGTTTGCTATCCTTGCTGTCCGATGACGTGATATGATCAGCTTAGCTCTTGGCAACTTGCGTAGAATCTGGGCCCTGCAGTCTTCTTAAACCTAGACCCTGAGAGATGCCGGCAGCGAGAGCGAAAATGGAGTCTCGTGTCTTTCTCTTCCGCATCTGACCCTAGCCCTAAACTCAGTATTCCCGGAGCACAAAATGTGCTTGCCATACTTGCTACTGCTGCTGAGGAATGTCCTACCGACATTGCTAATGGCATCGGTACATGGAAGTTTCTGCAAGCATTGCCAGAACGAAGAGCAACATGAGAAATTCGCAGGCGTGTCGAGATTGCTCGCTGTGCCTCGTCCTTTGTTGCTATCAATTGGTGTCTGGTGTCGGAGTCGGAGCTGCATTGATCGAGAAAGGTGCCAGGATCAGTGATGAGATGTGAAGAAGGTAGGTCATTTAGGATGAGAAGCCGAACGATTCAACACTGAGTGTAGCAGTGTAAAGTTGAGAGCTAACACGGTGATTGCAGCCATACATGTGCAATACTTGTGGGGCAGTGTCAGGACGTCATTCACGAGCATGAGAGATCTTGTCTTGCTCATTCACATTACAATTTTTGCTCATATCGTTGATGTCACTACTGGCCCCCAAACCCTAAACCCTCAACGCTTGACTATACTATACTACACTATACTATGCTATGCTATACTCTTTCTTTTCTACACTATGTTATATGCTTTATTCTACTAGACGAGACTAGACTAGACTAGAGTATACTACAAGTCCATTCGGGGGCCCTAAGAAACTGGTATATTACAGCATCCATCGCTTCAAACGCCTTCTAAACCCGTATAAGCCCTCGGCCCCAATATGCCCTGGGGGCACTATTATATACTATAACATACTAATTATAACATACTATAGCCGCAAACTTCGATATTATGATATACTACACCAGACCCCCAGCCAGGCCGGTGACAAGAAGGCCCAGGCGCTGGCAAGCTACCTGGCGGTGCACGTCAAAGTGCTCCAGGAAGACCGCAAGGCTGCTGAAAGTTGAGCGAGTTTAGGGAAGTGATGGTGGGCAAGGTCTTAAGGAGATGAGCATCTCTCGACTCTCGACTATAGGCACAGATCTCGTCACCATCAAATAAAACCTCCTAAAGCCCCCCTAAACCCTAAACCCTAAACCCAAATCCCTAAAACCTTCTTCATCGGTTCAAGAGGATGTCGGAAGTTGGACTGGGGTTGGAGGCTTTCGTGCTTCATAGCAACCCGTAGAATTCTAGCATGCTTGAGCTTTCCCTCCTAGCGTCTTGATCCTTATCTAATCTCCTACTGTAGCAGCTGCCGGGTCCGAACCGATGTCTGTGGCTTTCACTACTTTGGATCATGCATCTGTGATCGGTGGAGCCTGTCTTCGCTCACCCTGTCCTTAATGCTGAGCTTGCATATCCTCAGGGCCGCGCAGAAACTGCATGCCACTTGAAATTAGCCGCTAACCCACTCGAAATGAACCCGGAACACAGAAGCCTAGACACAGCCGGGCAGGCCATTGAGAATCTCCCGAAGTCTTTGAGGGAGGTCGCCGCGCTGTACGGCGAGGCGACAGGGGGAAGCTTGCAAGGGAGTCTGTTGTTGTGGTGTATTGGCATCGCAGTTTGGCTTCTTGTTGAATCTTGCGTAATAATGCGCTTACCTGCACGAATCCAGCTTACTACAAAGTAGAATGCTAGATTTGATCTAGAGTCTTAGAGAGTGTCTCCCAATTTCAATCATGCTTGAGATGTGACGGCATTCAGCCGCTCGGCTTGCAGATAACAGGCCCATCTGAGTCTCCGCACCCGCCAGGTGGGTGACAAAAGGGAGCAGGAGGATGTGATGAAGGACCCGCAAAGCTCAAGCGCGTGACGTCTAGACCAGCTGCACACAGGAATTAATGTACTTTGTCTATCAGTGTTTGTGCGTTGCTTTATACTTGTGTTGTAGATTTTATGGTTTTGCAAGGGTTGTCTGGCATGGCTGCAGGGGCCTGCTTGAAACAGCAATCATGCATTAGGCCACGTACTTTACCACGGTTCGGAAAAGCAGACTGTGTGTTGCAGGATCTCATTCAGCAAGGATCTTCGGAAGGGGCGGACTTCTAGACGCCGACCTAGGGCTCGTCTATAGTAATAGATGATGTTCTGAAGGACATTTTGGAGTTCCACCTTGCCAACGGCCAGAGGGAAGAGGCGGAACCTGCTACCAGTGAACATTGAAATCCTTGAAAGGGTTCGCTGGCGTCGATAAGCCCTTCAGCACCCTTCTGCAGCCTGTTGAGTTAAGGGTTTCCGGCGAACATCTTGCCACGGTTCTCACAAGTTTTGCCGTCGTCCTCGACCTTTCAGACTGACTTTGCAACTTGCCCGGTCAAGATCCTTGGGCTCGATTGCCCACAGGCTGCCAAGGTGGAGCAAGAGATCCGGGATCAGGTGAAGGGCAACAAGACGGAGGCCGCTACTGCCGTCCATGTTCTATAGGTGTTTCTGCAGCAGCGGCAGCAGCAATAGTGGTAGTGGTAGTTGTAGTAGCAGGAGTAGGAGTCGGAGTAAGAAGAGGAGTATGAATAGGAGCAGGCGACAATGACGACTCCAAGTCGCTCTGCAGGAGCCTCCCTGTCTCCTTCGCCTTGCAGCAGTCTTCTACTCCATGAGCGCCATGGAGGGTGCCCGGACCCTTGTCGAGGAGGCTACGGAAGTGGGAGCTTCGTGTTCTGTCAGGCCACGAGCCCTCCACATTCTACGGAAAGGTCCAACCTAAGCATCATCCAATATCTCAAGCGCATGCAACAAGATTTTGCAGTTAATTAATCCAGCTGACCTCTCTAAAACATCTGCGACTCGTCCAAGCATGCGTTGCGGGTCATTGATCTTCAATCGAGGCCTTGTCAGTCAGAGTTCGGCGCAGCATACTTGGTAGAGAACCATACAACGGAATCCACACCCCTGCCAGGCTGTTGCCGGCTTCGGTGCAAGTGGAGACAAGGCCTCCTGACGTCTGCACTTGTAAGCTTTTCGCTTTAGGGACTGCCCAGTCCTGTCGCCGCAATTGATCACACCTTCGCTCAGAGTGTGGTTTCGTGCCGCTGGCGAGTGGTGCTCGGTTGTGACTGTGTCAGTATCGAAAGGTGAGGTGACAGGCAAGTCTTTCGGATGGCGTGTCGACCCGGAGCTGCACCTAAATAATTACCAATACTATTTTATTTATTACGGCTGTTACTCTTCCTGCTGCAACCCGAAGCCGAAGGCTGGCAGCGTGACGGCCCTGCGCTCCATGGCTATGCTGTATCTCTCGCCTGGGCTCCGGTGAAACCTCAGGGTTTACTGGATTATAGTGTTAGAATGGTCGTACTATAGAAGTTACCGGATTATGGCATAAACTTCGTATTCTTGTGCGATAGTATTGCAGTTTACGGTTTAGGGTTGCGAGGGTTTCGGGCGTGGGCTCTAGGCATTCAGTGGTCGGGCTTTGAAAATGCTTGAGGGTATGACTTTGGGTCCCAGGACTTACGATTACAGAGACAGTATTCGGTCTGCAGGGAAGGAGCTTTGCCAGTTTCAACGCAGCCCGCCTGGGTCCTTCGGGCTTCTCCCCGTATGAAGGCACAAGAGAATGGCTAGGCCGTCAGTCATGATTGGGCTCATTGCTCATGGAGTTTCAACCTGAAGCTGCAACTGCTCAGAGCCCGAGCCCGCCAGTGACGGCCCGTATTCAGCTTCAGATTGTGCTCATTGACCACCAGGGCAAGTTCGCAGCGAAGAGGATAACTCACTGGACTTGGAGCAATTAGGGATTGAGGCTTCTTGTGCCTTACTGCCCTGAGAGCCATTCCTGCCAAACATCGGGGTGCCGCTACTAAGGCAGCAGAAGTTTGATGAAGCCTTGCAGGCCCTGAGCGCGAGTAGGAGCGAGCGCACGCGTCTGAGATGCTGGGTCCTTGAAGTTAGTATATATTATATTTTGTTTATGATTATGCTACATTACATTATGCTAACTAAATTCATATTATATACACATATCTATCTATCTATCTACCTACCTACCTACCTACCTACCTACCTACCTACCTATCTATCTATCTATCTATCTATCTATCTATATAAACATATTTCTTTCTAGTTGTTATTATAAGTGCAGTTACAACCACAGGCCCCGCAAAATACGCAGCATCCATGTTGTCAACACTGCCGGTATGGATGTGGCCTATAACTCTGGAGAGATCCATGCCCCCCATATCTTGAGAAGACGCATTCACAGACTCTGTGTACATTCCCTGCCCATTTTCGTTTTTTTTTGTCTTGAGGCTTCGAGGCTGGAGATGTCGGATTTTGGGACCCTAAAAATCCTTGTAGGGTTTAGGGTTTAGGGGTTTAGGGTGTAGGGTTTGCTAAACCCTTAACCCTGAACCCCAAACACCCGTTCCGAGCCCGCTTTCCGGCAGGCTTTGGAGAAGGCCGTCCAGGGAACCGGCACGGAGAAGGCGCTGCCGGTCACCCGCTACTTGTCTTTGGGGCAGAGCCCAAGAGGTCCAAGAGGTTTGGGGTTTTGGGGTTTTGGGGTTTAGGGTTTAGGGTTTCAGGGGTTTTAGGGGTTTTAGGGGTTTTAGGGGTTTTAGGGGTTTTAGGGCTTTAGGGGTTCAGAGTGTTAGGGTTTTAGGGTTTTCGTTTCATGGTTTTGAGGAGATCTGTAAAGAGATCAGGGGACCTGTCAGCTGGCACCAGCGGCCTGCCAGCAGCAATGTGTGCAATAGTCATAAAGTCTCAATCTGCTGCTGCCGGCCGTGGCTCGTTGAGGATGTCGTAAGCACGACCTTCAGACTACATCTTACCATGCTCACGACTTCCAAACTCCTTTCAGATGGGTACTGCCTTTATCAGGATCAGGGGCTCAGGTCAGTAGTACTGTAGTGCGCTTCCTCGGCCGAGTGCAGGTCCCTGGAAACAAGAGGCCCTGCAAAGTAAACCCTACAGGCCCCCAAAGCCCTAAACCCCAGTGAAAGCCTCACTTGGTGTGACAGGCCAGCATCCAGTATGGCATCTCACAGGTCTACGCCGCCATGGGCGGCAAAGGCCCGGTCACACTCAGGTCTCTGTGAAGCATTGCAATAAAGCATAATGAATTACATAGAACTTTAATGTGTTTTGTAACATTCCGTCAGACCTGAGACAGAAATCTGAGACATGAGCCGGCGAAGAATCCTTCAGTTGCGGGACCTGCCGTCCTTGGAGCCTTTGCCAGGCGTTAGCAGCGCCGTGGATGCCCTGAAGAAAGCCAGGGCCTTCATGAAGGAGGACGGGAACAAGGTGCGGCCCTGGGCATTGGAATCGGATCTCGCTTGTGACGGCAGTGATGGTCACGATCTGTTTGACCGTTCTGCCGCCGATGCTACTGTTGCTACTACTGTATTACTACTGTTCTCCGCTGCCGCTGCCGCGACCGGTACCACCACCGCTGCTGCAGCTGCTGCCTCCAAACGGCCGAACTTCGGGTTTCCGGAGACTCTGGACACGAGGCTCTCATGCCCTTGGGGCTTCTAGCAGGCTCTCCAACCGGTGCTGCAGCTGTACCCTTGTGTCCTGAGGCCAAGCCCGAGCCTAGGAGGCTCGGAAAGCGTGGACAACATAAACTCAACACTGCAATGCCTGCACTTCAAGGCCCGCAACGAGCATGGTACAAGCTTGTTATAAGTAGGTAGGTAGGTAGGTAGGTAGGTAGGTAGGTAGGTAGGTAGGTATCCGCATGCAGCGACAGTGCCAGATGTGCCGTACAGAACACCCCATGCGTAATCTTCAAGTTCCTTTCAGACGACCTCCAAGTTGAAGTGGTCTCCAAGGATGGTCAGCTGGAAGTGCTGCAGATCATGTCTGAGCTCATGCTCAGCAAGCAGCAGGCAGAGAGTCAAGATTCGCAATGCAACGCGGAGAGGTTCGAGGTGGTGAAGCTCTAATTCAGCTGCCGATAAACTGGGGAACGCCATCTGCATGCCACAAGATCAGTCGCCCTCTATTCGGGTGTTGGGCCTTACTCCATTGAATCAGGATCTACTTGGGCGGGGTTCACAATTGTAGCCCATATCAGTGGACTTAGAACTCCATTTATAACTATCCTAAACCCTAAACCTTAAACCCTAAACCCAAAATACCCTATGGAACCCTTAAAGGAGCCCCAAAACATGAACCTCCCAGTTACGTCCGAACAAATTCCGACTGCCAGGGCTCCGATGCCGTCGCCACTGGCCAGGAGGCCCTTGCAGTGGTGCAGGCGCCTGGGCTATGATTTTTTTTGGGGGTTTAGGGGTATTAGGGGTTTAGGGTTTAGGGTTCGGGGTTTAGGGCTTAGTGTTCCTATTCCTAATTTTTTGATTTTAATATATTACTATGATGATGTGATTCTTAATATTATGAATATTGTTAATATGGCGATTTATACCATGATTGCCATGGTTATTAGTGTTATTATTACTGTCGGATCATCGGAGAAAAGAAGGGCTTTACAAGTCCTTTCAGGAATCCTTGAACCTGGCAAGAGCCACTGCCCACTCCACCAGCACCATGTGCTACTTGTCTTACGAGTATGCAGATGTTGCGAAAGAATCAAAAACCCTAAACCCTAATCAACCCTCATAAACCCTCATAAACAGCCGTATATCTGACTCGTCAATGTTGGGTCGCGCTCCTGTCCCGGCCTCTCAGTCCTAGGGTCAGCTTCAACAAGCTTCCCTGGCCCTGAGCTAGCAATTCTCACAATCCTCATTAAGAGAAAGTACACACACACACAAACACACGATAGAGTCAGTATCTAGCTCAAAGCAGGTACGATGACCGCCCCGAACCCTCTTCAAATCATGCCCCACAATCCCCATGTTGCATCTCTTCAACACCTTACCTCATCGTGCAGGCCCCAGTAGTCAGCCTTCTGCACCCCTCACAGAACCTCCGTACAAGCCCACTTCAGAAACCTGCGGTCGACCGTAAAGAAGCCCCGCGAACACCCTCACGTCTGCAAGTTCTTCCGTGCCTCGTAGGCCACGGGCGATCAGTCCAAGGAGGTGGGGCTAGGGCCTTTTTTCTGTCTAGGGCATGAGATTCAGGGAGAGGGGATGGCGTATACTATGGAGTTTGGGTTTTCTGACGGAAGGCTGGAAGGGTTCCGCGGGTTCGGGTTCTTTCGGGTTTAAGGTGCCGGGTTTTGAATTTCTTCGTTTAGGGTCATAAGGCTTAGAGTAGTCATCTAGGGGTTGAAGTCAAAACAACACATGCTTTGGGGTGTCGCACCTTTGGCTTCGAAAGGTGCTTGGGGAGCACCCTTTCCGGGTCATTGGGAGGCTTTAGGCCCGGCCCAGGACCGAAGTCTTTGGGAATCCTCTGTCTGGGTTTAGGGTTTTGGGTTTGGGGTTTTAGGGTTTTGGGTTTAAATAGGGTTTAAGTAGGGTTTAGGGTTTTGGGGTTTAGGGTTTCGGGATTGAGAGCCCCAGCATCCTAAGTTGCAGGCAGCCGCTCTCTTGCGCCTGGTGGGGGCCTGCCTCTCCTCGCAGAACGATGGCGAGGCAAGCTTCATTTGTTTTACTTAAGAGGCTTCATGTCTTGCATTCCATGCAACACGTATCGGAATTTAGATTTTGAATATGCGAAGAATCATCAACACAAGCGCAACCTCCGAAGGGGGCAAGTTGAGATCATGAGCAGTCACAGGTATCAGTTTATAAAGCAGAAGCAGTTGTAGAAGCAACGTTTGCGTGGAAGTGCATTGGTATGAGCAGAAGCAAAAGACTTGTCGCAAATTGCAAATGGAATCAAGCCACAGAGAGTCAAGGCCTTGTCTTTGCTGAAGAGAGAGGGAGAGAGAGAGGGAGGGAGAGAGAGAGAGAGAGAGAGAGAGAGAGAGAGAAAGAGAGAGAGAGAGAGAGAGGGAGAGTTGGATGGGGAAGCGCCTTGAGCGCGGGGCACTGGGGCTGTCAGCAAGCAAAACAAAGCAAACTGAGAGAGCGAGAGAGAGAGAGAGAGAGATGCAGGCTGGGTGGGCCATTTGGCCCGGGGACGTTGACCCGTCCCCATGCCCTGGAGAGAGAGAGAGGGAGAGATGCAGGTCTGGGCAAAGAGGAATAGAAACGCAGACGTGCACAGCATGCGGCTGCGCCTGTCGCATTTGGCAGGAGGGACACCCTGATTTCCAGTAAGAAGAAGACGAAAGCCACGCACCGTACATGTCGAGGATGTTTACAAGTGATTTACAAGTCTTGTCATCTGACCCTCTTTGGACTTCCATGGGAAGCGCAATCGCAGTATCGGCGACAGCCGTGAGAGTACATGGTGAGCAGGATCATAGTTGACAGAAGGTAACGACAAACACAGTAAACACAGTATAACTTCCTCAGCATGGTACTAGTAACCGTGACCCCACCGGTTTGAATAGAAGTCGCCCCGTGAAAAATCCTTAGAGCAGAAGGGCCCCTGCTCGTCTCTTTGTCAGCCCGCCAAAGCAATTGTCGTTCAGGCACTCAAGTATGCCGAGCAGGCTGAAGCTAAGGCGCTGGCCCAGCCGGTGTGTCGAGCTTTTCTTTTCAAAGGTTGTGGGCTCACCTAAACGACTGCGTGGAGATTGTCCCGAAGATGCGTGTCCATTCTTCCCAGCTTCAGTCGTGATTTCAGCAGCAATCGTGTGTCGGATGGGAGCTACAGTGCTTGGCTGGTGGCCGATGGGCCGACTGCACCAGCAGACGCCTGCAGACTGCCGGCCAAGAAAGCTCTTCGTGCACATCGCCTTGTACATTTCCATGCGTAAGATTTGCAAGAAGCCCATCACCACCTTCTATATGTAGGCATTGACTGTTCAACCTCAGCTGTGCCACCCTGGCTGCTGCACATCTCCTTAGCCATCATCAGCAGATCGTTAGCACAACAACCCTTGGCAAGGCTTAGACTAACAGCGTTTGCCAGGCCCGAGCGGCTGATGACATCGAGAAAGAGGCCCAGGCCAGCTACAACATCGCGGAGATCATGCTTCGGAGGCGATCCCGGATGGTCCTTACTTGCTTGAAGTACGGTTTTTTGTAGGCCACCAGAGACCAGTTTCGATATCACCCACGTGCCATGAAGCTGATGTTGCGGCGGGGATCATACCCGTCATATCCTACCCAGTCCTACCCTCAAGCCGTTCGCTTTGCACACATGCCTTCTGCTGCTGAGGGGCGACAAAACTGGCTCCATCAAGCGCTCGAAGGACCGACGCAAGGTCTGTAAGATTAAGAGGCCGCCGGCTGACACGAACTTCTATTCCTTTCGAGGCGGTGTTTACCATTCCAGCAACAACATCAGGACCACAACTGCTGCTGCTGCTGCTGCTGCTGCTGCGACGACGACGACTACTACTGCGGCGACGACGACCACAACAACAACTGCTGCAACTACTACTACCACTACTACTACTACTACTACTACTACTACTGCTACTACTACTGCTACTACTACCAACACCACTAGTACTGCTACTGCTTCTGCTACCGCTGCTGCTACTGCTACTGCTACTGCTACCGCTATTTCTACCGCTACCGCTACCGCTACTGCTGCTGCTGTTGCTGCTACTGCTACTTCCACTCCTGCTCCTCCTCCTACTGCTCCTGCTCCTGCCCTGCTCCCACTCCTACCTACTACTCCTACTACTCCTACAACTGCTGCCGCTGCTGCTGCTGCCTTCATTGCCGTTGCCGTTGCTGTTGCCACCGTCATCTTCTTGTTGTTGTTGCTGTTGTCGTCGTCGTCGTCGTTGTTGTAGCCGGCTGCTGCCGCTCTTGCTGTTGTTCTTTCTGTGCTGCTACTGCTGTTGTAGTGAGTATTGTACTGCCGCAGTAGTTTGCAAATCCGGTAGGTTCATGGCATGCATTGCAGAGACACCTGGCTCAAGATCCTTGTGCGAAGTTTGGACTCTCGCGTTTCAACGCCATGCCGGGGTTTCGGGGATAAATATCTTCCTAACGCGCAGGAGCAACTTCAGAGATGTCGCGAGAAGCTTCCCGGCTGGCAGTCTCGCTCGCGCTCTCTCTCTATCTCTCTCCCCCTCTTTCTGTGTTCGCCCCCTCCCTCCCTCCCTCCCTCCCTCCCTCCCCTCCCTCCCTCCCTCCCTCCCTCCCTCCCTCCCTCTCAGGCAGGTTTGACAATCCCGGCGTACTGCAATTTCCGATCTCGACCGTCTTTCCGACAAGCTACTGCAAGCCCGGACCCTGTCGAACTAACTTTTCCATCATCGTTATCAGCATCATCGTCATATTTGGCAGAAGAGAGTAGTATAGTGGTGGAAACAACGCAGGAGCACTGAACACCGGCAACAAGGCGGTGGCGGTGCCATCGACCACCTAAACAACAAATGCGTGGACAACAACCATCAACAGCAACAGGAGCAACATACCAGTATCTGCGACTAGTCGTCATCGTCGTCGTCGTAGTAGCAGTAGCAGTAGCGGTAGCAGTAGCAGCAGCAGCAGGCAGCAGGCAGCAGGAGCTTCAGCAACCAGTAGCAGGAGCAGGAGCACTGGCAGCAGCAGCAGCAGGAGAAGTAGGAGGAGAAGGCGAAGAGGGAATAGGAGAAGGAGTAGGAGCAGTGGTAGGAGCAGCTCATGACCCAGGCAGCACTCGGCTGGACAAGCCTCTGCCATGGTTGTTGCCTGGATGCACGCTTTGGTCAACATAGGAGTCACGACCAGTAGACCTTGTAGTCCAGAGACAGTCTAGTACAGAAGGTCAACAGTGAATTGAACCTCGACCCCTATTCAAAGGACTACTGGGCCACTGCGCTTAGTGTACATGCTGGCCGTCGTCTACAAAGGTTTCAGCAAGCAGCGCTTGCCTTGATGTTGAAGTCTTCCACTTCTAGTCTTGCCCTCTGAAGCGCAGACTTCCAAAAAGAAATGCAGCCACCCACGTAGGGTTTAGGGTTTATGAACATTACAGCCCA